ACAAAACTCAACCCCCCCAACGAAACTTAACCAAAATTCCCATGCCCATAACACAACCCACAAGGTACAAACATATCTACTCAAAATGAAAAACAACACAACAACACACTCACAAAACGGCAAAACAACTGAGCATGCGCATTGGCGCCCAGCCGCAAGTTCCCTGGCGCGCGCACATGGCCTTCCGGCCAACGTTCCCTCTGCGGAAGCCATGCCCACTCCAAGCCCCGCCACGCCGCTTCCCGCACACACACACCCCCTGCCGCACGCACACACACAACCCCACGCTCCATCACTCCCCCCGCCGCCGCACACACACACGCAACCCCACGCTCCATCACTCTCCCCGCCGCCGCACACACACACACCCCACGCTCCATCACTCCCCCGCCGCCGCACACACACACGCAACCCCACGCTCCATCACTCCCCCGCCACCGCACACACACACGCAACCCCACTCCCCCCGCCGCCGCACACACACACACAACCCCACGCTCCATCACTCCCCCCACCGCCGCACACACACACGCAACCCCACGCTCCATCCCTCCCCCCGCCGCCGCACACACACACGCAACCCCACGCTCCATCACTCCCCCCGCCGCCGCACACACACACGCAACCCCACTCCCCCCGCCGCCGCACACACACACGCAACCCCACGCTCCATCATCCCCCCGCCGCCGCACACACACACGCAACCCCACTCCCCCGCCGCCGCACACACACACGCAACCCCACGCTCCATCACTCCCCCCGCCGCCGCACACACACACGCAACCCCATGCTCCATCACTCCCCCCGCCGCCGCACACACACACGCAACCCCACTCCCCCCGCCGCCGCACACACACACGCAACCCCACGCTCCATCACACTCCCCCCGCCACCGCACACACACACACGCAACCCCACGCTCCATCACTCCCCCGCCGCCGCACACACACACGCAACCCCACTCCATCACTCCCCCCGCCGCCGCACACACACACACAACCCCACGCTCCATCACTCCCCTGCCCCAATCTTACCTCCTTTTACTTCACGCCACCTCCAAACCCCACCCTGCCCCTTCCCGCCCTGTCAAAATCCAGGAAAGACAGGAAGGAAGGAAAGAAGGAAGAAAGAGAAAGGGAGGGAAAGAAAAAGGGGGAAGGAAGGAAAGTTAGATCACTCTCCCACCGCCGCACACACACACGCAACCCCACGCTCCATCACTCCCTCCGCCGCCGCACACACACACGCAACCCCACGCTCCATCACTCCCCCCCCCGCCGCACACACACACGCAACCCCACGCTCCAAGAAGGAAGAAGAAAAGGAATGGAAAGGAAAGATGGAAGGAAAGAAAAGAGAGACAGCAGAGGAGAAAGAAAAAGGGGGAAGGAAGGAAAGAGGTAGAGAAGGAAGAAATGAGAGACAGAGGGAGGGAAAGAAAAAGAGGGGAGGGAAGGAAAGAAGGAAAGAGAGAAGAAGAAAGAGAAGAGGAAGAAAAAGGGAAGGAAGGAGAGAAGGAAAGAAAAAAGGGAAAGAAGGAAGGAAAGAGGGAGCGAAGGAAGGGGGAAGATGTAGAGAAAGAGAGAAGGAAGGAAAGAAGGAAAGAGAAGAAGAAGAGAAGAAGAGAAAAAGGGGGAAGGAAGGAAAGAGATAGAGAAGGAAGAGGAGAAGGAAAGGTGGGAGGGAAGGAAGGAAGGAGGGAAAGAAGGAGAGAAAGAGGGAAGGTTGGCCACAGCAACGCGTGGCGGGTAAAGGTTGTTATTTCTATGATTATTATGATGCTATTATTCCTATGAGACCCTTGTAGGGGGAATGGGAGAGGTGTCAGGTCCCAGAGGCAATGCATTGCATTATTGTTATTGTTATGATGGTGGTGAAATAAAAGGAAATAAAAAGTGAAAGAAGGAAGCAAACAGGGAGGGAAGAAAGGCAAAGGAAGAAAGGGGGAGGGAATGAAGGAAAGAAAGAAGGATGAAACCAAGTAGTGAAAGAAGGAAAGAAAGAAAGAGGTAGAGAAGGAAGAAAGGAGAGAAAGGGGGAGGAAAAGGGGGAAGGAATAGGTAGGTACCTCTCTTTCATAATAGTCCAGATATCTACCTCAACTTTGATAAGTTTTACTATAGGCCACAGCAACGCGTGGCAGGGCACAGCTAGTAATTCTATGATTCTATGATCAGTGTAGATGGGGCCTTTTCAAAAACATGTGCCGCATTACCTTCGGAGGCAGAATCCTTGATCCAGAAGAAGACTGCCAGCCACCTTGGTTCCATTTTGCCACTACAATAGCACAGTCCAATTTAGGAAGTGGATAGTACATGGCATGAGCTTGTGTGGGTTATGTCCCACCCCATCAGGTTAGGCAGCATAATCCGGGTATATATGTACATAAACTTAGGGGAAAATTGTGCACAGGAAGTACTGCTAACTGATTGTCAGGCATTAATTGTATTAAGGAAACTTGGTGACAATGCAACAGGTGGCAACATTAATTTATAGTCCATCCGCCCCCCCCCCCCCCCCCCCCCCATGCCAATGTACTCTGCATCTGCCGACCTCAACATCTACTATTATTTTACTTCATCATTGTATGTACAGTAGAGTCTCGCTTATCTGACATAAACAGGCTGGCAGAAAGTTGGATAAAGGAAAATGTCGGATAATACGGAGACTCCTACTGTTACCCTTCCGACGCAGTGATAGACACCTAGAATACTAATAACATGGACTTAAAGGATTAAGGCAAGGCAAGGCCCAGCAGGAAGTGCCTGGATGTGGAAAAGAAATGTGGAAAAGCCGCCCTGAGTCCCCCCCGGGGTGAGAAGGGCGGGGTATAAGAACCTGTAATAAATAAATAAATGTGGAAATCACAGAGGGAAAGAGGGAGGATGCTTCCGCTTCCGGTCCTGCCTCTTTTCCCCCTTTTTCTCCCTCCTCCTCTTGCCTTTTTCACTTATTGGGATTAGAGAGAAAGTTGGGAAGCGTTCCTTTAATTGAAGGGGAAATGCTGGAGGAAAAGGGGGGCATCGGATAAGAGCGTCGGATAAGTGAATGTCGGATAAGCGAAGGTTGGATAAGCAAGACTATTGTAATAGGATGAGCATCCACAGGTTTGGGTGCTGGAACTAATACCCAGTGAATATTATTCCTGCTGTGTTTATTTTATAAATAGAATATATGATGTGCGGGATTCCGGTGGTTGTAGTCTCTCAGAGTGGTAATGTTTTGAAAATAAATACAGATGAAGCAATACATTATTAAAGTGTTTTGATCAGGGGTCCTTAAACTAAGGCCCGGGGGCCGGATACGGCCCTCCAAGTCATTTACCCGGCCCTCGCTCAGGGTTAACCTAAGTCTGAAACGACTTGAAAGCATACAACAACAATCCTTTTTCATCTGCCAAAAACAGGCCCACACTTCCCATTGAAATACTAATAAGTTTATATTCGTTATATTTGTATTTCATTTTAATTATTGTATTGTTTTTAAGTGGGTTTTTGCGCTACAAATAAGTTATGTACAGTGTGCATAGGAATTTATTCATCTTTTTTTTAATTATAATCCGGCCCTCCAACAGTTTGAGGGACTGTAACTTGACCCTCTGTTCAAAATGTTTGAGGAGCCCCTGGTTTTGAGCATTAGCAGATATTTGCCAAAGACTTATGGAAGTCAAGAAAAGCCTTTGTCAGTTGATGGAAAGACATTGTAGAAGGGCACAGGCCAGCTTGTTTAGGATGGAGCCACCAAGAAGGCCCTGCCTCCCATGTTCCCACCAGAATTTTTTTTTGTCGTGTCAGGAGCGACCTGAGAAACTTCAAGTCACTTCTGGTGTGAGAGAATTGGCCGTCTGCAAGGACGTTGCCCAGGGGACGCCCGGATGATTTGATGTTTTATCATCCTTGTGGGAGGCTTCTCTCATGTCCCCGCATGAGGAGCTGGAGCTGATAGAGGGAGCTCATCCGCCTCTTCCCGGATTCGAACCTGCGACCTGTCGGTCTTCAGTCCTGCCGGCACAGAGGTTTAACCCACTGCGCCACCGGGGGCTCCAGAATGGTCAGTGGGTGATCAGTGATCACTGACCACCTGCTACAATGCAACCTGAGCCCTGCCACATGCACAATGGAGGATTATTTATTTATTTATTTATTATTTAAAAGTTTTGTATACCGACCTTCTCACCTCTCTTGACTCAGACCAGTTTCCAACCATAATATCACATACAATCAATAAAACATCATAATACATATTACAGTAAAACATTAAAACAGCAATTACAATCAATAACTATAATGGTCAGTCATCACACTAAAATCGTTGCTCATCATCCTCCATCCATATCTCAGGGTGTTGGCTCACTCGTCGAATGCCTGTCTCCATAACCAAGTCTTCACCTGTTTCCTAAATGTCAGGATAGAAGGGGCGGTTCTGATCTCCAGTGGGAGAGAGTTCCAGAGTCGAGGGGCCACCACCGAGAAGGCCCTGTCCCTCGTCCCCACCAGACGCGCTTGCGAGGCCGGTGGGACCGAGAGCAGGGCCTCTCCAGATGATCTTAATAATCTTGATGGTTCATAGGGGAGAATACGTTCGGAGAGGTAAACAGGGCCGGAGTCGTTTAGGGCTTTATAGGTTAACACCAGCACTTTGAATTGTGCTCGGAAGCTAATTGGCAGCCAGTGGAGCTGGTGTAACAGCGGAGTGGTGTGCTCCCTGTACCCAGCACCCGTTAGTAATCTGGCTGCCGAGCGTTGGACTAGCTGCAGTTTCCGGGCAGTCTTCAGAGGCAACCCCACGTAGAGAGCGTTGCAGTAGATCTCCCTATAGCGACACCAGAGGCTACTGGTCAAAGGACATTCAATAGAATGCCAAGTTTGCAAACTTTGTGGATATGTTTTTTCAAATACAGTACAACTGTTTTGTTCGCTCCTGACACGATAAATGAATAAAACCGGAATGATCTTGGATCCCTTATGGCTGACAGGCAATCTTTCTTCTCTTTCTTACAGGACTGTGAAAGCCATGAAGGAAACCATTCAGGCCAAGAAGTATTGGGGAGCGTCCCCCGGCCTCCACCACGCAATGGGCCACCGGGACAAGGTCTGCCGTCCTTCCCAGGAATGGGGCCAGCCGGAGCCCAAACGGCGCGGGGGAGGTGGCTGCTTTGAAGGCAACCGTCGGTTGGCGTATACCAACAAACAGTCTCCGGGATTTGGCCCCATGTCCTCCGGCAGCGACGAGGAAGATAAAGGGAAGTGGGGCCTCCCTTGCATGTCCGCCTGGGGAGTGGCAGGCGATGCGCCTAACTCTGCTCCGAACAAATCCGGCAGCAGGGGGAAGGTGGCCCGGAGCGGGGGCCGGGCCTGGCCCTTCGAAGTGAAGTCGGGGGCCAATTCCCGGGGGCGCCCAGCACTGCTCGGGGGTACCTTGAGGCGACATGGCACCAGGCGTCGGCGCCAGCGAGCCCTGCAGGCCTTCCGGATGCTGCTCTATTCCAAAAGCTCCTCCTTCGCTTTCCATTGGAAGTTCTGGGGCAAGATGGCTTCCAAGGCCCGTCGCCGGCCCGGGACGAAGCGGGCTCGGTCCTCCTTGTCCCTTTCTCCAGGGTCGCAGCCCGACGACGACCATCTCCCTCTCTACAAGAAAAGCTGCCGAATAGTCAGGGAGGAGGACTGCCAGGGCGGAGCCAAGCGCCGGCCCCGCCCCTTCAAGCCCCACCCTCCCTCTGAGCCCCACTTGGACTACGACACCTTCCCCACGCCTTCCCCCGTGCCACAGACCCCTCGCCTCGGCCTCCTGGGGGCCTTGATGGAGGACACTGCCTCTTACCCTCAGTACGTAGAGCTGCAGAGGGTCAGTTTTGACAGGGACCCGGGAAGCATGGAGATGGACGAAGAGGAGACGGCCACCATGCTCAAGTTCCCCGCAGGAGGACCCCCGGCCTCGCCCCGGAGCCGGAAGGCTGGAGAAGGAGAGCTCAGCCTGGATGGAGACCGAGGTAAACCTCCGGCCTTTGGTATTAACAAAGCAAGGCAGGAGTGGACGACGTTTGGGGGAGATTTCTCTGACCCTGTGTCATTGAGGTCTGATCCTCAGTCATTGTCTGAGGAGCAGAGGGACATTTTGGGCTCATTTTGGTTAGATGCTTATGCTTTGTGGTAGGCATTGGCAAACTTTGGCCCTCCTGGTGTTTTGGACTTCAACTCCCACAATTCCTAACAGCTGGTAGGCTGTTAGGAATTGTGGGAGTTGAAGTCCAAAACACCGGGAGGACCAAAGTTTGCTCATGCCTGCTCTATGGGAATAGATTTCTCACCATCTATGCCCTGGGTGTGAATATTTTTGGTCGAGGGAGGGATAGTATATAACTCCTTGAAGGAAGAGCACTCTCCCATCTCTGTTCCACCTCATGGGTCCAAAGACCCTGCAAAGTGACTCTAGACTCAAAAGGGCGGCTCTTCTCAGCCAAACTTTTTTAATTGTAAACCGCAATGAGTCGCCGATTTAGGCTGAGATATTAGCGGTATACAAGCGCATAAATAAATAAATAAATAAATAAATAAACTTCCTGACTGTGAGAGCCGTTCAGCAGTGGAACTCTCTGCCCCAGAGTGTGGTGGAGGCTCCTCCTTTGGAGGCTTTTAAACAGAGGCTGGATGGTCATCTGTCAGGGGTGCTTTGAATGCAGTATTCCTGCTTCTTGGCAGAATGGGCTTGGACTGGATGGCCCAGGAGGTCTCTTCCAACTATGATTCTATGAAACCACAATGGCAGGGCCTTTTAAATTTTTTTACACAGGTATATGTAATAGGTATGAAGATCAAACCTTTACTGATAAGAAATCAGCATTTGCAAGGCTTGCTGAACAGGCTGCTTTTCTAGGTTCTTGTGGGTTTTTTCGGGCTATAGAGCCATGTTCTAGAGGCATTTCTCCTGATGTTTCGCCTGCATCTATGGCTGCTTTTCCTTTTTATGAAGTACTAGTTGTACCTGCCATGCGTTGCTGTGGCCAACCTTCCCTCCCCCTTTCTCTCTTTTCTTCCTTCCCTTTTTCCTTTCCTTCTCTCCTTCCTTCCATCCCTACCTCTTTCCTTCCTTCCCCTCCCTTTATCTTTCCCTTTATCTTTCTCTCCTTTCTTCCTTCCCTTTTTTCTTTCCTTCTCTCCTTCCTTCCATCTCTACCTCTTTCCTTCCTTCCCCTCCCTTTATCTTTCCCTTTATCTTTCTCTCCTTTCTTCCTTACCTTTTTCCTTTCCTTCTCTCCTTCCTTCCATCCCTACCTCTTTCCTTCCTTCCCCTCCCTTTATCTTTCCCTTTATCTTTCTCTCCTTTCTTCCTTCCCTTTTTTCTTTCCTTCTCTCCTTCCTTCCATCTCTACCTCTTTCCTTCCTTCCCCTCCCTTTCTTTCCCTTTTTCTTTCTCTCCTTTCTTCCTTCCCTTTTTCTTTCCTTCTCTCCTTCCTTCCATCTCTACCTCTTTCCTTCCTTCCCCTCCCTTTCTTTCCCTTTTTCTTTCTCTCCTTTCTTCCTTCCCTTTTTTCTTTCCTTCTCTCCTTCCTTCCATCTCTACCTCTTTCCTTCCTTCCCCTCCCTTTATCTTTCCCTTTATCTTTCTCTCCTTTCTTCCTTCCCTTTTTTCTTTCCTTCTCTCCTTCCTTCCATCTCTACCTCTTTCCTTCCTTCCCCTCCCTTTATCTTTCCCTTTATCTTTCTCTCCTTTCTTCCTTCCCTTTTCTTTCGTTCTCTCCTTCCTTCCATCTCTACCTCTTTCCTTTCTTCCCGTCCCTTTATCTTTCTCTCCTTTCTTCCTTCTCTTTTTTCTTTCCTTCTCTCCTTCCTTCCATCTCTACCTCTTTCCTTTCTTCCCGTCCCTTTATCTTTTCTTTTATCTTTCTCTCCTTTCTTCCTTCTCTTTTTTCTTTCCTTCTCTCCTTCCTTCCATCTCTACCTCTTTCCTTCCTTCACCTCCCTTTTTCTTTCTCTCCTTTAACCACCACCACCACCACCATCACAACAACAACAACAATAATAATAAAAATATGAATCCCATGGTCAAAACAGTTATTCCGTCAGGAAATAATAATAATAATAATAATAATAATAATAATAATAATATGAATTCCATGGTCAAAACCTTCCATCAGGAAATAATAATAGTAATAATATGAATTCCATGGTGAAAAGAGTTCTTCCATCAGGAAATAACAACAACAACAATAAAAACAACAACAACTTTACCTATATTCCGCTCTATCTCCCCAAAGGGACTCAAGGCAGATTCCAAACATAAAAGGCCAACATTCAGTGCCTGAATACAACAACAACACATCCATACTAACAAAATGTAAACAAACCAACATATAAACACGTATTTATTTATTATTTACCTTACTTATATACCGCTGTTCTCAGCCTGAAGGCGACTCACAGCGGTTCACAACAAATACGAATAGCAAAAATTCAGTGCTACAGTATAGAAACAGTTAACAACCTAACACATTACACAATTAATAAACAGTTACTACAATACCCATTCACTGTCGTCTCGTCATCAAAAACATGTTCCAGATTCGTCATCCATTGTTCCATTCCAGTGTTCATTAACCAATCATTGCACTAATTATTGGAACGCCTGCTCAAACAGCCAGGTCTTCACTTTTTTGCGGAATATCATTAGAGATGGTGCTAGTCTAATGTACGTAGGAAGGGCGTTCCACAGCCGAGGAGCCACCACCGAGAAGGCCCTATCTCTCGTCCCCGCCATTATTGTAACTTAACAACTAAAATTAAATAAAAAACACAGCCTGTTATAACAAATATAAAACAAAACATTAAACATTGATGGAAACAGTAATTTCCCATTTCCTTGGGGCAGTTTCCCCAAATATATGCCCCGTTAAGTTCCTCCTAATGTTTAGGTGGATTCCCTTTTCATGGAATTTGAATCCATTCCCCCCTTGTATCCTAGTCTCTGGAGCAACAGAAATCAAACTGTCCCTCTTCCTCCATGGGGCATTGTTTCTGTTACTGAAACCTGGCTCTCGTTCCCCTTCTCCTTGCTTGCTTGCAGGCCCCCTGGATGCCCTCCCAAACGGTTTTTCCTCCCTGGCTCCCGACGGCGACCTCTGCTCCCTCCCGGGAGTCACGGACGCCACCATCCTCATCAGCAACGTCTGCAGCATCGGAGGTCGTGCGGCCGAGGAGCTCTTCCAAGGCCCCCGGGACAAAGAGAGGCTGCTGGACCCTTCCGGAATGAGGCTGGAAGCCGGGGGCCAGCAGGCAGAGTCGGCCATTGAAAGCGGGCAGGAGAGACTCACCGAGAAGGCCGCCCAGCACAGCCCTCTGCGGGAAGAACACATCACGTGTGTCCACAGTAAGTGCATGTTTATGTGTGAGCATGTGTGGAAGCAGTCAGAGCAGAAACAGTAGGGGAATACATCTGGGGAAATGGAGGATAATAATAATAATAATAGCTGACACAATATGAGGATTTAAATATCAAACTGCAAAGACTCTGGCACCATCCAGTAAAGGTGATCTCAGTGGTGATTGGCACACTGGGTGCAGTGCCTAAGACCTTGGCCTGCACTAAAACACAATCGATGGTGACAAAATCACTACCTGTAAGCTGCAAAAGACAAGATCACTCTGCTGGCTGTTGTATTGGATCGCATGCTTTTCCAGTTGCTCCTCATCAATTCTGCTGTCACCTGGGATTGCAACATCGATGACCCATATTTGTTTTTTTCCACAATTATTATTATTAAGGTAAAGGTAGTCCCCTGACAATAAGTCCAGTCATGTCTGACTCTAGGGTGTGGTGCTCATCTCCATTTCTAAGCCGAAGAGCCAGCGTTGTCCGTAGACACCTCCAAGGTCATGTGGCTGGCATTACTGCATGGAGCGCCGTTACCTTCCCGCCGTAGCGGTACCTATTGATCTACTCACATTTGCATGTTTTCGAACTGCTAGGTTGGCAGAAGCTAGGGCTGACAGCGGAATCGAACCTGCGACCTTTTGATCAACAAGCTCAGCAGCTCAGTGCTTTAACCCACTGCGCCACCGGGGGCTCCTATTATTATTATTATAAACACAATAAGATGAGTCCACAGCAGACAAGATCACTCTGCTGGCTGTTGTATTGGATCACACGTCGGACCCTTCCCGAGTGTCTAGGATTGTGTGTTGTATCGGCGAATAATGTGTGCAGATCCCAGTAAGGTGGTCTTTTGCATCTGGCAGATGGTAATCTTGTCAGCGCCAATTGTGTTTAAGTGCAGGCCAAGGTCTTTAGGCACTGCACCCAGTGTGCCGATCACCACTGGGACCCCCTTGACTGGCTTGTGCCAGAGTCTTTGCAGTTCGATCTTTAAATCCTTATGTCGTGTCAGCTTTTCCAGGTATTTCTCTTCAGTCCTGCTGTCACCCAGGATTGCAACATCGACGATCCATATTATGTTTTTTAACACAATTGTGAGATCAGGAGTATTATTATTATTATTATTATTATTATTATTTGAAACACAACAAGATGAACCTACAGCAAACAAGATCACTCTGTTGGTTAGGTTCTTGTTGGTTTTTCCGGGCTATATGGCCATGTTCTAGAGGCATTCCTCCTGATGTTTCGCCTGCATCTATGGCAAGCATCCTCAGAGGTAGTGAGGTCTGTTGGAAATAGGACAATGGATTTATATATCTGTGGAATGGCTGGGGTGGGGCAAAGAGCTTTTCTCTGCTGGAGCTAGGTGTGAATGTTTCAACTGACCACCTTCATTAGCATTTGAAGGCCTGCCTGAGCCTGGGAAAATCTTTTGTTGAGTGGTGTTAAGATGTGCCTGATTGTTTCCTCTCTGCTGTTTTTGCTGTTGTAATTTTAGAGTTTTTTAATACTGGTAGCCAGATTTTGTAGCCAGAGACCATGAAAATGAACAAAATCTGGCTACCAGTATTAAAAAACTCTAAAATTACAACAGCAAAAAAAGCAGAGAGGAAACAACCAGGCACATCTTAACATCTCTCAACCAAAGATTTTCCCACTACCTCTGAGGATGCTTGCCATAGATGCAGGCGAAACGTCAGGAGAAATGCCTCTAGAACATGGCCCTATAACCCGAAAAAACCCACAAGAACCTAGTGATTCAAGCCATGAAAGCCTTCGATAATACACTCTGCTGGTTGTTGTATTCGATTATTATTATTATTATTATTATTATTATTATTATTATTAACCTCAACACTCAGGCGCATTGGAGTATTCACTTGCCACCCACTCTGGAAATAGATACACCTGGTTCCCTGTTGCCCTCCAAAGGATTCCCTGGAAGACTATGTCTGTCCTCCATCCTTCCTCCAGGCTCCTTTCTGGGGCCTTGCTCTTCCTCCTCCTCCAGCTCCATTCCATTGGGCTGAGGCAGGTCACCGTGTCCTCAGCTTCCTTCTCGCTTTCCCTCCAGACATCCTGGACGAGTTCCTCCAGACGTACGGCAGCCTCATTCCCATCAGTGTGGACGAGGTGGTGGAGAAGCTGGAGGACATCTTCCAGCAGGAATTCTCAACGCCACAGAGGTAAAGCGTGCCTCACCCCTCACCCCCTTTCACCCCATCCTCCAAAGGTCATCCGGTCCAACCCTCTCCCTGGCTGCTTGGTGAATGTGGCTGAGTTTGAAAGCACTTCAGGAAGCCTGCTTTCTGGTCAAGAGAAAGAGTAAAGCGCTGTGACTGAGACTCTGGGAGCTAATAGTGGGGAAAGGAGAGGGGATTGTATTTCCGCCCAGGTATGAATGCAGCAGCTTCAATGCTGAGGACCCAACCCACGCTAGGACAGCAAAGGTGGGCTCTGCTTTCTCCCCAAGGGCTGCATGCTGTTTCCATGAAGCACTGTGAGATGTGGAACCAAAAACAAAAGCGTTGGGACCACAAGAACCGGCCTGTTGTAGCTTAGAGGTCTTAATTCATAGAATAGTAAAGCTGGAGCAGACCCCCAGTGTTGCAACTCAGGGTAGTTTTCACCTTGCTCCAGACACCACCACACCAAGGCTGTAGGTTTTTGTAGTTTACTGAGAAAAGCAAAATCAAAACAATAGAAATGCAATAGTTCCATAGGCAAAACAGAGACTTAAATGTAAAGGCAAAGTTCCCAAGATCCAAAGGCAAAAACATGAAGCATAATCCTTTAGCAATGGTCAAACAAAGAGTCCATGGTAAACAGTTGAAAACAAGACCCAAATCCCAGACTCAGGAAGCCAGAAGCATGCTGCGAAAAGCCAAGGAAAATCTTCAGAAGTTAACAAGGGAAGAGCAATGTTGGACTGACAACAACTGCCTGTCAGCTACAAGACTTTGCAAACATGAAAGCATTGCGTTGACCTTGGGCACCTTTGGCTTCTCGCTTGCTGCTTATAAACATCCAGAGGAGGAGGAGAGTCCGCTGGACTTGCAGGAAACAGCAGGTTCCTCTGTTGAATAGCTCTAAATGTCAGGAAAGTGTTTCCTGATGTTTAGGTGGAATCTCTTTTCCGGCAGTTTCAATCAGTGGCTCTGTATCCTAGTCTCTAGAGCAGGCATGGGCAAACTTTGGCCTTCCACCAGGTGTTTTCCACCGGTAGGCTGTTAGGAATTGTGGGGGCTGAAGTCCAAAACACCTGGAGGAAGGCCAAAGTTTGCCCATGCCTGGACTAGACCCAGGCTGGAAGGTTTTTTCTCTGCCATGGTAAAGACGGGCCTTTGCTTTCTCTGGCACTTCCCTGCAGGAAAGGCATGATCAACCAGCTGATCCAGTCCTACCAACGCATGCCAGGGAACGCCATGGTCCGGACCTTCCGGGTTACCTACAAGCGCCACGTGGTCACCATGGATGACCTGCAGACGCTCTACGGACCGAACTGGCTCAACGACCAGGTATGGCGCACAACGGCAGAAAAGAGGGGAAAAGAAGGGGCTGAGCAGGGTGGGATGCAGTAAGGCCATAACTGAGGCCTACAGTATTGATATGTGCCTGTGCTCAAACTAGATTACAGTTGGCTCCCCGGTTTTGTGTGCGTTAGGTGCACAGGATCTTTGCAAGAGTGGGAACATTGGATTAAAAGTCATTTTATTGTACCCGAGATAACGCTTTTTGAGGAATCTTTAGGTTGTCCAGTGCAACTCCATAATTAATCTCTGGCAGGCATTGACCATACATTCATTTGCATTGGAGGACCAAGAGTTTCCTAGAGAGAAGATGTTTATTTATTTATTTACAACATTTCTACCCTGCTCTTCTCAACCCCCGAGGGGGGACTCAGAGCGGCTAACACTGGCAACAATTCGATGCCACAATATCACAATATAACAACAATATAAAACCATAAATACACAATAGATTAAAAACAATAACATTAATTATCCATGTTAAATCCATGGATGTGAAGCTGGAGGGAAATTGGGAATCTGAGAGAAAATACTCAAATCAGTGTTGGAGAGGTTGTCAGGAAATAGGGATGTACCTTCATATGTGGTGGTCATGTACAAAAATTTTGGGAAAGCATATTCAAAGAAATAAGAGCAATAATAAAAATAGAGATCAAGATTACACCAAAATTAGCATTATTACTTATACATGACAATACAATTCCCTCACAAGAGGAGAAGGAATTGGTTTCTATCTTGATAACAGCAGCTAAATTGCTAATAGCAAAATACTGGAAAGACAAAAAAGAAATTCAGTTAGAAGAATGGTATAGCGAAATTTGGAATATACTGTATATACTCGAGTATAAGCCTAGTTTTTCAGCCCTTTTTTTAGGCTGAAAAAGTCCTCCTCGGCTTATACTCAAGTCAAGGTTATTTATTATTTTACTCTGTTGTTGTTATTGTTGTTGTTGTTGTTATTATTATTATTATTATTATTATTATTGCATTTATTATTTTACTTTGTCATTGTTATTATTACAGTTACTATTTTACTCTGTTATTACTGTTATTCTTACAGTTACATTATTTTACTCTATTATTATTACTACTACTACATTTATTATTTTACTCTCTTTATTATTATTGGAAGGATGCATTTGCACATTTACATTGATAAGGGTTAGAATAATGGTTTAAACAGAGTTGGACAGTCTTATCCTAAATTACAGTTTTATATAAATATTTAAAAATAATTGATGCCTCATTTAATGTAATTGTATTGGTATATATTTTTATTTTGAAATTTACCAATAGCTGCTGCATTTCCCACCTTTGGCTTATACTTGAGTCAATCTGTTTCCCCACTTTATCGTGGTAAAATTAGGTGCCTCGGCTTATATTTAGGTCGGCTAATACTCGAGTATATACGGTAGCTATTAATGATAAGCTAACTTGCAATATTAAAATTAAAAGGGGAATATGCAAACAAACGGATTTCTGGAAAATATGGGGGGAATTTATTGAGTATATTTTTAATGAGGGAAAGGGGTATAAACCAGCAAGAGAAAGAGTGACATTTTGGAATTGTGAAATAACATGAGTAGGTTGGTCCTGGTGAAGGAGGCACAAACTAAGGGGAAAGGGAAGAGGGGGGAAATGGTATAATACTAATTATAAAGAAATAAAGCATGTATAAGTAGATAAAAGGTATGTGGTAGAGATATACATAGTATAAGTTGTAATGGAAAATTTAAAAAAATTATAAGAAATATGCTTAAATATGTTTTTGATTTTTTTACTGTTAGATTGTATATTCTAAAAAAAAAGAAAATACTTTCTGTATATATTTCAGATGTCAGTATTAATGTCAAAAATGTTTTAAGACTTTGTGCGATTTTTTATATTTTTTATATCACATGTATTGTTTTTAACAGAATTTCTTGATTGTTTTTACTTGTTATTATTGTTGAGGCATCAAATTGTTGCCAATTTGTGAACCGCTCCGAGTTTACTATTTACTAATATATATAGTAAATAAATAATAAATAAATAGTATGATTTTACATAAGTTTTGTGCTGCGTTTACGGTGCCTTGAATGGCACCGTAAACACAGAGCTAGCAAAACTGGATCTGTGAAATGGCAAGAGTAGTGTAGACCTTTGTTGATCCCTGCATTTGGCTCTCTAATGAAGACCCTTCCCCCTTTTCCCTCCCTCCACTCCACCCAAAACAGGTCATGAACATGTACGGGGATCTCGTCATGGACACGGTGCCGGAGAAGGTGAGCATCCGACACTGAATTTTCCAACCCAAGAGGTAGGTTCAGGGACTCACAATTGCAAAAGACTTGGTCACCTTGAGAGGATAATTGGGATGGATGCCCACCTCTGGCTTTGTGTCCGGTTCGTAGAGGAGTTAGAAAGGACCATCGAGGCAATCTAGCCCAACCCTTGGTAATCAAGGAAGCTGTACAGAGGGTACTGGTAGCAGGCCAGGGCCACTTTTATGACTGAGGCCCATTCTTCAACCTGTTTGCTGTGCTTCGAGATCACATGGCATCACAGCACTTCCAAGAAAGGAAAGGGAGACTGAGGGAGAAGAGGAACAAGGAAACAAAGCCGATAGGAGTGATTAAAAATAAATTTAAGTGAGACCCACACAGGCACTTGACAAGGAGCAATGCTATAGAACAGGCATGGGCAAACTTGGGCCCTCCAGGTGTTTTGGACTTCAACTCCCGGTAGGCTGTTAGGAATTGTGGGAGTTGCAGTCCAAAACACCTGGAGGGCCGAAGTTTGCTCATGCCTGCTATAGAATCATGGGAGTTATAGTTTTGTAAGTTCTTATCCTTCTGTGCCACCAAACTATGACTTAGTTATTCTCTGCAGACTGACACAGCTGTGTCTTTGGATTCTATTAGCGACATCGTTCTGAATTTGAAAGGCTTAGTAAAACCGCAATAATTCCCAGTTATTCCCCTTGGACAGCCCTCATAGATGTTCCTGATGGAGCCGCTATTGTTAGCCCGTGCTTGGTAAACTTACTGCTTTAGACTTCAGTTCCCATTATCCTCCCTTGCTGCCTGTGGGATCATAGTCGAAAGGAACATTCAAGTCAGCATTAAAGGACCATTTTCCCTTCCTTGACAAGTTAGTTGCAGTTTGCCCCTCCGAGTCCAATCTCCCCCTAGCTTTCTCTCATGGGTTGAAGCCATTTTTTATGTGGCTGTATCTGTTTTTTTCTCTCCCACCAGGTTCATTTCTTCAACAGTTTTTTCTACGATAAGCTACGAACCAAGGGGTACGAGGGGGTGAAGCGCTGGACCAAAAATGTAAGTTGGTGTTTGGGTTATTGGAGATGGGTGGGCAAAGAGTGGCCCAGTGGGAGGCGTGAGGACTCTCAGCCTCAGTTTTGTAGTCCCTAAAGTCTGCTGCCTATCAGTTGTTCCTCCCCCCCCCCCCATTTTTACTTTTGGTTTGAGTTTTAGACTCCTTATTACCCCCAAACTATGCAGAAATAAATGCACACCCAGCATCGTGCAAAAAGAAATATATGGAAAAGATCTGGGGCTGTTAGTAGACCACAAAGTGAACATCAGCCAAGAGTGTGATGCGGCAGCTGAAAAGGCTCATGCAATTCTATAGGTTGCATCCATAGGAATGTAGTGCCTAGATCAGTGGTTCCCAACCTTTGGTCCTCTGGGTGTTTTGGACTTCAGCTTTCAGAAATCCCAGCCGGTTTACCAGTTGTTTGAAACTGTGGGAGTTGAAATCCAAAACTCCTGGAGGACCAAAGGTTGGGAACCGCTGACCTTGATGGAAGGAAGTCCTAGTCCTCTCTCTTCTTCTGCTTTGGCCTCCCCTGGAATAAAAACCCTGAGTCCAGTTCTGGGCAATTCAAGAAGGAGGTGGACAAGCAAAATGGTTAAAGGTCTGGAAAGTATGACATCCTATGAGGATCCATTTTGAGGATTTATTTAGTTATCGTGTCAGTTACAACCAGAAAATTGTATTACATTTTAAACAAATTTTTAACAAACAGACAAAACAGAGTTTGCAAGCTTGGTAGTTGATTAAATGTCCTTTGACCAGTATCTGGCCCCTTGGAGTGCCTCTGGTGTTACTCTAAGAAGGTCCTCCATTGTGCATGTGGCAGGGCTCAAGTTGCATTGCAGCAGGTGGTCAGTGGTTTGCTCTTCTCCACACTCACATGTTGTAGATTTCACTTTGTGACCCCATTTCTTGAGGTTGGCTCTGCATCTCGTGGTGTCTGTTCAGCGCCTTCCAAGTCACCCAGTTTTCTGTGTGCCCAGGGGGGAGTCTCTCATTTGGTATCAGCCATTGATTGAGGTTCTGGGTTTGAGCCTGCCACTTTTGGACTCTCGCTTGCTGGGGTGTTCCAGCGAGTGTCTCTGTAGATCTTAGAAAACTATTTCTTGATTTAAATCATTGACATGCTGGCTGATACCCAAACAAGGGATGAGCTGGAGATGTCTCTGCCTTGGTCCTTTCACTATTGGCTGCCACTTCCCAGCGGATGTCAAGTGGTGCAATACCGGCTAAGCAGTGTAATTTCTCCTGTGGTGTAGGGCGCAGACACCCCGTGATAATGCGGCATGTCTCATGAAGAGCCACATCCACTGTTTTGGGGAGATTAGTAGGTTTTGATTAGACAAGAGAAGACTGAGAGGGGACATTATGTGCTTTCAGGTCCTCTGTTGACATATGGGGAGCCCATGAATTGGTCCATGCTCTCATTACATCCAGGATAGACTACTGCAACACACTCTACGTGGGGTTGCCTTTGAAGACTGCTTCAAATATTCCAACAAGAGGCAGCCAGGTTAATAACTGGGGTGGCATACAGAGAACACACAACTCCCATTTTACACCAGTTCCACTGGCTGCCAGTTTGCTACCAGGCACAATTCAAAGTGCTGGTTTTGGCCTATAAACCCCTAAACAACCCTGGCCCAATTTACCTGTCTGAACGCATCTCCCCCTATGAACCATCATAGAGATTAAGATCCTCCAGGGAGGCCCTGCTCTCCATCCCGCCATTGTCACAGGCACAATTGATGGGGACAAGAGAGACGGCTTTCTCGGTGATTGCTCCCCAGCTGTGGAACTCCTTTCCTGGGAAGATCAGGTCAGCCCCCTCCCTCCCATCCTTCAAAAGGATAGTAAAAACTTGTCTGTGGGACCAAGTTTTCAGGACAGCGCAATAAAGCAGCGATAGGAAACCTTACCAGGCTGATTAGATTAGATGCAGATGATGAAGATGGTTTTAAACAGTGTATTTTAATATTGAGACAAATGTTTGTAATGTTTATGTATGCATATAATGAATTATTGTCCCGCCATTGAATGTTTGCCATATATATGCTGTGCTCCGTCTTGTGTCCCCTTTGAGGTGAGAAAGGTGGAATATACATATTTTAAATAAATTAATAAATAGAGTTTTCTTAGGTAAGGAATTCTCAGAGAGGAATTCCCTCCTTTGAAATATTGCTGGTATTGTATTGTCGAAGGCTTTAATGGCCGGAATCACTGGGTTGTTGTAGGTTTTTTCGGGCTATATGGCCATGTTCTAGAGGCATTCTCTCCTGACGTTTCGCCTGCATCTATGGCAAGCATCCTCAGGTAGTGAGGTCTGTTGGAACCAGGAAAATGGGTTTATATATCTGTGGAAAGACCAGTGTGGGACAAAGAGCTCTTCCCTGCTGGAGCTAGGTGTGAATGTTTCAATTGACCACCTTGATTAGCATTTGATGGCCTGGCAGTGCCTGGAGGAATCTTCTCAACAAACACCTCTCAACAAAAGATTGCTCCAGGCACTGCCAGACCATCAAATGCTAATCAAGGTGGTCAGTTGAAACATTCACACCTAGCTCCAGCAGACAAGAGTTCTTTGTCCCACCCTGGTCTTTCCACAGATATATAAACCCTTTTTCCTAGTTCCAACAGACCTCACAACCTCTGAGGATGCTTGCCATAGATGCAGGCGAAACGTCAGGAGGGAATGCCTCTAGAACATGGCCCTATAGACCGAAAAAACCTACAACAACCCATTGCTGGTATTTGTTGTCAGTCTCCCATTCAAGTACTAACCAGGGCTGCCCTTGCTTAGCTTCTAGGGTCAGGCAGCTTCTGATACCTTTAAATATCTGAAGGAGTGTCATGTGGAAAATGGAGCCAGCTTTGTTCTGTGGTGCTCCAAACGATAGGATCCAAACCACTGAATTCAACTGAGAAAAAAAAATGAAGTTCCACTAAATTTTAAGTTATATGAAGAAGTGTTTGACAGTAGAATGGGCATCAATGGAGGGAGATGGAGTCCATCTTAGGAGATCTTTTAACATTGTGGCGCAGCTGGCTGAGTGTCAGCTGCATTAAGATCACTCTGACCAAAAAGGTCATGAGTTCGAAGCCAGCCCGGGTTGGAGTGGGCTTCCAACCAATTGTGTGTAGCCTGTTGCCGACCTTTGCAACCCGAAAGACAGTTGCATCTGTCAAGTAGGAAAATTAGGTACCACCTTAAAAAAAAAGTGTGGGGAGGCTAAATTAACTAATTTATGAGGCCATAAAGAAGACCCCAGCAAAGCATTCCAGCGGGGAAGCATGCGGGGAATGCGGAAGTACTTCATCAGTGTCGCAGATGGACGATGAAAGCGACAGCTCCCCTGGCGGCCAGAAAAAGTTAAATAGCCTCTGTCTATGTCTGTATATGTTGGTATGTCAAAACTGGCATTGTATGTTTGCCATATGTGTGTACACTGTAATCCGCCCTGAGTCCCCTGCGGGGTGAGAAGGGCGGAATATAAAAGCTGTAAATAATAATAATAATAATAATAATAATAATAATAATAATAATAATAATAGGTTGGATAGGCTCCTCTCTTTGGGGAGCTTCTTCCTGCAAGGCAGAAGGGGCTTGAACTAGAGCGCTGCTTCTTAAACTGTGGCTCCCGGCCCCAAATATGGCTCCCTTTGCTCAATGTTGGGATCATGAAATATTGGGTAGTAACCAACCGTTTCCGAACAACAGCCATTTGCCCAAATCCATTGGCCACAACATGCAATGTTTACAGAAGACTCTGCAGAGGAGACTTCAGCTGTGCTCCACAAAACTAAAAAAAATCAGACTGTTCAGCAAGCTTTGCAAATGCTGATTCGTTATCAGGAAATGTTGGGTTTTCATACCTATTTTATATATGTATATGCCTGGGGTCATGAGTGGAAAAAGTTCCAGAAGCCCTGGACTAGGTCCCTTCTGTCTGCCTGACTTCTGGCTTCCTCCCAGGTGGACATCTTCAACAAGGAGCTGCTTCTCATCCCAATCCACCTGGAGGTCCACTGGTCCCTCATCTGCGTGGAGGTGAAGCAGAAGAAGATCACATACCTGGACTCCCAGCGCACCCTCAACCGGCGCTGCCCCAAGGTAGGGTGCCATGGGCACAGCAGGCAGGGCCACTCCTGTGGGGTTGGCCATCATGGTGGCCATCAGGAGAAGCTGAGGTGCCCGCCTTCTTTCTTCAAGGCTTTTCTGGAGGGGCTCAGCCAGCCTCCTCTCACCCATCTCCCTGTGGGCTTGTTGGACTGCAACTCTCAAAATCCCCCAGCTGGCAGAGTCTGCAGGTTGCAACCCACAAATCCATGGGGCCCCAAGTTTGAGATGTCTGTTTCATAAAATAAGATGCTTTGGTATATTTCTGTATTTACTCAAATCTAGCACTCACCTTTTTGGCTCAATTACCTTGCCAAAACTAGGGTGCACATTTGATTTGCATAATTGGGTAATCTTAATTGCTGAGCCAAAGAAATAGGGGAAGCTGCTTCAGGAGCACCTGGAGCTTCTATTTGATGTATATCATCTGTAATGGGCCAGGCTTCAGCACAGCTGGTTAATCACTAGTAATATATCACAGGTTGCAGTTTAGAGCCCGTATCAGGGTGAGCTCCCTATCTTCAGCCCAGCTCACTGTCCACCCAAGCAGTTTGAAAAAGCTGTGAGTAGAGACATTAGGCAGGAAGGTATTTTACGCTTCCTTAAGCAGGAAGGTATTTTACGGCACCATAACAAGGAAATACCAGGAAATGCTGGCAATCAAAGAAAGGAGGAAGTCTGTGATCAAGGGCTCTTTGTCATAGAGGATGGAGCAACAGCACCCCCTGTGGCCGGAATCGAGCATAATCTCCAGGATGCCGAAGTTGGGAAAAATGCCGACGTAATACCTCTATCTGTTGTGTGTCCTGTCTGTTTAACGGCATTGAATATTTGCCATGTATGTGTTCTGTGATCTGCCCTGAGTCCCTTTTGGGTTGAGAAGGACAGAAAATAATAATAATAATAATAATAATAATAAACCTTTATTTGTACCCTGCTACCATCTCCCGGAGGACTCGGTGCGGCTTACAAGAGGCCGAGCCCAAATACAACAGTAAAAACAACAACAACAATACAGCAAAATAACTCAAAAAACATCTGCGATATAAATGCTGCAAATAAATAAATTGTCATGGCTCCATGCTATGGGATCCTGGGATTTGTAGTTTGGTGAGGGATCTCCACTCTCTGACAAAGGAGGCACACAGCCTTGCACAAAGGCACAAGGACAGCCCCCTTGACCCCATAGCACTGAACCAAGGCAGTTAAAGTCGATTCATTCTGCATGCACCCCAAGGTTTCTTGTCCATTGGTGAAAGCTTTGGTGTTCCAATGCAATTGTTTTCATACACACACGAAAAAGGAATTCAAAGCAAGCAGCAGATGTAATGGGCGTATTACAAAGAGCGCACTATGTGCTGCGTTTTTCCCATTACATTTGTCAGCAAATATTTTTTTGGTTTCAGGGTTTTAAAAATGGAGGTGCGCATTAGATTCGATGACACATTAGACTCGAGTCAATATGGGTATTACAAAATGCCAAGAAAGTCAGCTTTGAGCCTGAGCAGAGCATCCCTAAGATGGAACATTTGCCAATTGGCCTTTCAAAGCAAAAATGCAAATACAATTATCTGCCCCTCGTTAAATGTGGGCTTTCTTCCCCGTTACTTCCATCCAGCACATCTGCAAGTACCTGCAGGCTGAAGCAGACAAGAAGAATCGCCCCGACTTCCGAGATGGGTGGAGAGGAGTTTTCCAGATGGTGAGTGTCTCTCTTCCTTCACAAGGAATGATTTCCCAAAGCGTCAGTACATTCTTGTACTTTCTCAGCTCCAGTTACCGTATATTCTTGAGTATAAGCCAGGTTTTTAAGCCCTTTTTTAAAAGGCTGAAAAACTCGGGTCAGATTTATTATTTTACTCTGTTAGTATTATTATTTTTATTACACTTATTATTTTATTCTATTTAATATTATTACATTTATAATTTTTCTTCATGTATTATTATTACATTTATTATTTTACTTTATTAATTATTTTACTCATTATTACGTTTATTATTTTACTGTATTATTATTATTACAATTATTGTTTCACTCTTATTACATGTATTATTTTCTCTCTTTAGTATTACATTTATTATTTTATTCTATTAATTATTTTACTCTTATTACATTTATTGTTTTACACTATTATTATTATTACAATTATTATTAAACTCTATTATTATTACGGTATAATAATAATAATAATAATAATAATAATAATAATAATAATGATGTAATAATAAGTAGTTTTCGGGCCGATATGGGCGGGATAAAAGTGATATAAACAAATAAATTTATTATTTTACTCGATTATTACTGTTATTAGATTTCCATTATTTTATTCTATTATTATTTTTTTATTACATATATTATTTCCTCTCTTTATTATTTTTCTTCATGTACTATCATTACATTTATTATTTTACTCTACTTTTTATTATTACATTTATTGTATTGTCGAAGGCTTTCATGGCCGGAATCACTCAGTTCTTGTGGGTTTTTTCGGGCTATATGGCCATGTTCTAGAACATGGCCATATAGCCCGAAAAAACCCACAAGAACTGAGGATTACATTTATTATTTTACTCTATTATTACTGTTATTACATTTCCATTATTTTATTCTATTATTATTGTTTTATTACATATATTATTTCCTCTCTTTATTATTATTACATTTATTATTTTTCTTCATGTATTATTATTACATTTATTATTTTACTCTAATATTTTACTCTATTTTTATTATTACATTTATTATTTTACTTTATTATTATTATTACATTTATTATTTTATTCTCTTATTACTGTTATTATTACATTTCCATTATTTTACTCTATTATTTTTATTATTTTTCTCTCTTTCCTATTATTGGAAAGATGAGTACATAAGCACATTTACATTGAAGAAGGTTAGAATAACGTTTGAATCAGAGTTGGACAGTTTTATCTTATTTAATGTAAATAATCAAAAACATTTCACCTACTAATGCCTCAATTAATGTAATTTTATGGGTATCTATTTTCATTTTGAAATATACCAATCACTGCTGCATTCTCCACTCTCAGCTTATACTCGAGTCAATACGTTTTCCCAGTTTTTTTGTGGTAAAATGAGGTGTCTCGGCTTATATTTGGGTTGGCTTATACTTGAGTATATATTGTCTTGTTCACACTGGATGTGCTGATGTAACCCAAGAGGTGAAAGTGTGGGTTTCTCCAGTTGACCCCAATGCCAGTGCAGCTAAAAAGTTTCCCACTAGACAGAGAAGGAAGAGGAAAGGGTTCTGGGCTCTTTGTCAAAAGGGGCTTCTTTGCCCGAGACTCCATTGTCCTTCCTGGAATCTATTGTCTTCTTCACTTTCTCCCCTTTCGCTCCCGCAGAACATTGCCAGGCAAAACAACGACAGCGATTGTGGAGCCTTCGTCCTGCAGGTGAGTGCTGCGGACCCTTCTCAAGACCCCTCCCAGCTGAGGGGCCTCTGAGGGCGGACGGAGGGGAGGGCAAGGCTTATCTTGGCCAGGCAGCATCTCTGGACTGGGCCAAGCCAGACTGCACAGCTGCTATTGAACGCTCCCTCGGGTTCTGGGAGCTCAGAAGGAGAGCATGGGCCTTCCCACGTCAACATAATTGATTTCCCAAAGAAGCTAGCATCCCATGTTGTCAGCCTTGTGACGGCAGTAGGGCATGATCGCCCTTTTAGGCCTGGCGGCCCCTGAATCTTCCCTTCTCTCTATGCAATTCCTGTGGCTTGAGACTGTCAGTTGAATGACAAAAATGTACATTACAGTGCGGGCATGGGCCAACTTGGGCCCTCTGGGTATTTTGGACTCCAACTCTCACAATTCCTATTTATTTATTTGCAGCTTTTATATTCCGCCCTTCTCACCCCGCAGGGGACTCAGGGCGGATTACAGTGTACACATATATGGCAAACATTCAATGCCATTTTTTTGACATACAAACATATACAGACATACACAGAGGCTATTTAACTTTTTTTTCTGGTCGCTTTCTTCGTCCATCTGCGACGCTGATGAAGCACTTCCGCATTCCCCGCATGCTTCCCCGCTGGAATGCTTTGCTGGAGTCTTCTTTATGGCCTCGTAAATTAGTTAATTTAGCCTCCCCACCATTTTAAGGTGGTACCTAATTTTCCTACTTGACAGATGCAACTGTCTTTCGGGTTGCAAAGGTCGACAACAGGCTACACACAATTGGTTGGAAACCCACTCCAACCCAGCTTCGAACTCATGACCTTTTGGTCAGAGTGATCTTAATGCAGCTGACACTCAGGCAGCTGCGCCACAATCCCGGTGCTAATTCCTAACAGCCCCAGGCCCCTTCCTGATTATCTGATTTGATAATCTGGATTATATGGCAATGTAGAAGGAGCCATACTATCTCAGCTGCAGATGAAAGAAAAATCCAAACCCCTCTGAACAAATTGTAAGTGGCTGAAGGGTAAAAGGAAAGGGACTGAGAGGAAGTGTCAGGAGTGGTGGGAGTTGGAGTCCAAAACACCTCAAAGGAAGGCCCAATTTGGTCCATGCCTGCACTAGAGCCTCCCCGAACTAAAGTTGGAACCCAAGGGTTTTATATCAGTCAGTCAGTCAGTCAGTAGCCTTTATTTCGGTCAAAAAACCATCGGCTAAGTCAAGTGAAAGTAGAACGATGAAATACAACAATTGACAATTAATAACATCACATTTGGCTTATAATTAATAAAAGCAAGTATCACCATTCGCTATTGGATGAATGACTGTCTATATAATCTAAAACAGGAACTGATTGCAAATTAATAATAAGTCTCCCAAGTACTCTTTGTTACACTCAGCCTTTACAGGTTATTCATGAAGCACTTGCGGCTTTTTGCCGCTGCAAACAGAAATTTGGCCGCCTGTTCCGTTACCCTTTTATCAAGATCAGACAGTAAATAAGTGCAGTACCAACTTAGGGATCTTCCTGGCCACTTGGTGAGTAGAGGGCATATTAACCTTAGTCTATCATCCTTGTAAATTGTGCACATAAAAAGTACATGTGTTACAGTTTCAATTTTACCCTCCCCGCATGGGCAAACTCTGTGTTCGTAATCAGTCCCTTTGTATCTGCCCTCTAGTATGGCTGATTTGAGGGCATTGAATCTGGCCCAACTGAAAGCAAGGCGAAATTTTGTATTTGGCACCTCCCAAAGAATTAAATGTTAGACCTAAACTCAATGGAGAGCATGTGGAGCGCGCCAGAGTCATTGAGTCCTGTTTGTCTATGTCACTGATTCGTTCCACTAAGATCTGCATTAACTTTTTATGCTCAGAACCGCTCAATATATTCTCTGAGAGGCCCATCTGCCTGAGTTTCTGATTTAGCGCTTTGATTCAGTGGGATTTAAAGAGGTCTTTTTGAATCAGATATGTATATCCCGCTTCAGGCCCTTTGCGCACCCTCTCCATCCAGTATCCTAGGGCCCTTCTCCAAGCCAGTGATTTGAGTGAGGCTGTTCCTGATTCCAGTCTTAAAACAGCAGATGGAACACAACTGGGGACAGCAAACAGTTTTCTAAGAAACCCTGATTGAACTTGTTCTACTTTAGATGTGAAGCCTGTGATCCATACCGGAATTGCGTATAATAATTGGGCTGTTATCTTTGCTTGGAAGACCTTTGTTGCTGCTGGTATATACTGGTCACCTTTGGTGTAAAAAAAAAGCAAATTATTGCTTTACTACTGGATAGGGCATTTTGAACTGCCATTTTTTGGTGGCATCCCCAGGAACCTGAGGCTTGAAAGGTAACCCCTAGATATTTAAAACTGGAAACTTGTTCAATTAAGTTATTTCCTATGTACCAGTTATGCCTGGCTCGCTTCTTTGAGAAGACCATGATTTTGGTTTTACTATAGGGTTTTATATTGAGTAGCAGAGACCCAAGAACAGATTTAGGTCCCTCACACTCTCTCTGTTTACGTTCCGTCTAGTATTCCAAATACCTGGCTCTGGGCCTCCCTTTCACCTTCACGCAGCAAGACATGCCGAAACTCCGCCGACAGATGTACAAGGAGCTGTGCCACTGCAAGCTCATTGCGTGACCCACTGCCTCCCGCCCACCGACACACGCAAACGCCCCCCGGAGACCCCTCCCTCGGCGCCACAGGCGGGGCGCGGCTCCTCCTCGGCCCCGCACCCCGGACGGCCCTTCCTCGCCCCTCCGCCGCCATCCGTTTTGTGGCGCCTTCCGCAAGGACACTCTTAGGTCACAGGAACTCTGGAGGTTTGACCACCGGACTCTTATCCTTCTGGAGGGGAAGGCCTTTTTGTTGATACCCAAAGTTGGGGGAGGAGGCCCTTCTCTCTTTGGTTCTCTCTTCCTGGTCATTTATTTTTTCTCTCTCCCCCCCAGTTCATATTTAAGCCTCGGGTGGGTTTCTCTCAGTTGGTTCTTTTTGGGGAGACATGGAGGGTGGGGCTTCTGTATCCAGCCACCCTCGGTCAAGCGTTCCGTTTTGAATATGGGGACCAGGAAGGGAAGGGGAGGAGGGCTCCGTTGGCCCCTCCACCCCCAAAAACACCCACCCACACGACTTCTCCCCCCAGTTTATCGCCCTTGTTGGTTCCTTGTGTTAGTGGATGATGTCTGGGTTTCTTTTTTCTTTATTTTTTTTCCCCAAGGGGTATTTTTTTGGGGGAGGGGGGTTAGGAAAAGGGGGGGAGCGGGGAAAATGAAGAAAGGGGTTTTTTTGGGGGAGGGTTGCGGGGACAGTTTATACACTGGGGCCGAGAGGACGGAAACAAGCATTTTTTTATACGTTGGCTGCCATTGTGGGTAAATAATAAAAAAAAAGACGTTCTTTGGAGAAGCAAGACGGTGCAGACGGACTTCCTGCCCACCCTCCCTTGCGAGGGGCGTCCCTGAAAGATTTCCCCAGACCCCCTGAGAGCAATGGGACTTGGCCCAGTTCTGAGTCCTTCTCTCCATCAGTGTCACCTAGGAATACACACTGCTCCCCGTTTTTGAAGCGACTGTCAACACCTCGCTTGTAGAAGTCGACAGGTTGCTCCAAAAGCCACGTTGTGACTTCGGAAATCAGAGTCTCATCCTCTGAAAAAAGCCCCCAGTGGTGCAATGGGTTATGCCAGAAGGATTGAAGATTGACAGGCCGGAGGTTCGAAACTGGGGAGAGTACGGATGAGCTCCCTCTGTCAGCTCCAGCTCCCCATGCAGGGACATTTATTTATTATTTTATTTATTTAGAGGTTTTTATTACCCGGTCTTCTCAACCTCTGGCCGGCTAACAACAGAGGATTCAGTACAATAAGATAAAGCGAATATACGTCATCAATATAAAATACATTAAAATACAATTCATAGCATTTACAAAAAAGTCAGTTCGTCAGAGTGAAATCACAAATTGCAAATTCATCGCCAACTGCCAGTAGGACAACAGTTATTGACTCAGCCATCAATCTGCAAATGCAGTGTCCCAAAGCCATGATTTTACCAGCTTTCTAAAAGTTAGGAGGGAAGAGGCAGATCTGATCTCCATCGGGAGGTAGTGCCAGAGCCGAGGGGCCACCACAGAGAAGGCCCTGTCCCTCGTTCCCACCAAGCGCAATTACGAAAGAGGTGAGACCAAGAGCAGGGCCCCTCCAGAAGATGTTAGCAACCTTGATGGTTCGTAGGAGAGAATCCGTTCGGACAGGTAAACTGGGCCGGAACCGTTTAGGGATTTATATGTCAACACCAGCACTTTGAATTGTGCTCAGAAGCTGATTGGCAGCCAGTGGAGCTGACACAACAGAGGAGTCGTATGCTCCCTGTATCCCTCTCCGGTTAGTAGTCTGGCTGTCGTTCGTTGTACTAGTTGTAGCTTCCGGGCAGTCTTCAGAGGCAACCCCACGTAGAGAGCGTTGCAGTAGTCTATACGGGATGAAACCAGAGCGTGTACCACCGTGGCTAAGTCAGACTTCCCAAGGTATGGGCGCAGCTGGCGTACAAGTTTTAATTGTGCAAGAGCTCCCCTGACCACCGCTGAGACTTGGGGTTCCAGGCTCAGCGATGAGTCCAGGATCACTCCCAAGCTGGGAACCTGCGTCTTCAGGGGGAGTGTGACCCCGTCCAGAACAGGCTGTAACCCTATACCCTGTTCGGCCTTTCGACTGACCAGAAGGACCTCTGTCTTGTCTGGATTTAGTTTCAATCTGTTAGCCCTCATCCAGTCCGTTACAGTGGCCAAGCACCGGTTCAGGGCTTGAACAGCCTCCCACAAGGAGGGTAAAACATCAAAACATTGGTGCAGTGGGTTAAACCCTTGTGCTGGAAGGACTGGAGATCGACAGGTCGGAGGTTCGAAACTAGGGAGAGCACAGATGAGCTCCCTCTGTCAGCTCCAGCTCCCCATGCAGGGACGTGAGAGAAGCCTCCCACAAGGAGAGTAAAGCATCAAAACATTGGTGCAATGGGTTAAACCAGGGTTTCTCAAACTAAAGCCCGGGGGCTGGATACGGCCCTCCAAGGTCATTTATCCAGCCCTCGCTCAGGGTCAACCTAAGTCTGTAACGACTCAAAAGCACACAACAATAACAACAACAATCCTATCTCATCAGCCAAAAGCAGGCCCACACTTCCCACTGAAATACTAATACATTTATATTTGTTAAAATTGTTCTTCATTTTAATTATTGATTGTAAGTGTTTTTTGCACTATAAATAAGACATGTGCAGTGTGCATATGTACATATTCATGCTTTTTTCAAATTATAATCTGGCCCTCCAAGAGTTTGAGAGACTGTGTTTAAAAAGTTCGAGGACCCCTAGGTTAAACCCTTGTGCTGGAAGGACTGAAGATTGACAGGTCGAAGGTCAGAAACTGGGGAGACCACAAATGAGCTCCCTCTATCAGCTCCAGCTCCCCATGCAGGGACATAAGAGAAGCCTCCCATAAGGAGGGTAAAACATCAAAAACACTGGTGCAATGGGTTGTAGGTTTTTCCGGGCTGTATGGCCATGTTCTAGAGGTATTTTCTCCTGACGTTTCACCTGCATCTATGGCAATTCCAACAGACCTCACTACCTCTGAGGATGCTTGCCATAGATGCAGGCGAAAAATCAGGAGAGAATGCCTCTAGAACATGGCCATATAGCCAGAAAAAACCTACAACAACCCAGTGATTCTGGCCATGAAAGCCTTCGACAATACATTATAGAGGTTATAACAGTTGTGCTGACAGGACTGAAGACCAAAAGGTCGGAGGTTCGAAACTGGGGAGAGCACAAATGAGCTCCCTCTATCAGCTCCAGCTCCCCATGCAGGGACATGAGAGAAGCCTCCCACAAGGAGGTTAAAAGATCAAAACATTGGTGCAGTGGGTTAAACCCTTGTGCTGGAAGGACTGAAGATGGACAGGTCGGAGATTCGAAACTGGGGAGAGCACGGATGAGCTCCCTCTGTCAGCTCCAGCTCCCCATCCAGGGACATGAGAGAAGCCTCCCACAAGGAGGGTAAAACATCAAAACATCGATGCAATGGGTTAAACCCTTGTGCTGGAAACTTAACAATGTATCTCAACATTACCTCTGAGGATGCTTGCCATAGATGCAGGCGAAACGTCAGGAGAAATGCCTCTAGAACATGGCCATATAGCCCGGAAAAACCTACAACAACCCAGTGATTCCGGCCATGAAAGCCTTCGACAATACATTGGTGCAATGGGTTAAACCCTTGTGCTGGAGGGACTGAAGATCGACAGGTCGGAGGTTCGAAACTAGGGAGAACACGGATGAGCTCCCTCTGTCAGCTCCAGCTCCCCATGCAGGGACATGAGAGAAGCCCTCCACAAGGAGGGTAAAACATCAAAACATTGGTGCAGTGGGTTTTGGGCTATATGGCCATGTTCTAGAGGCATTATCTCCTGACGTTTCACCTGCATCTATGGCAAGCATCCTCAGAGGCACCTCACTATCTCTGAGGATGCTTGCCATAGATGCAGGCGAAACGTCAGGAGAAAATGCCTCTAGAACATGGCCATATAGCCCGGAAAAACCTACAACAACCCAGTGATTCCGGCCATGAAAGCCTTCGACAATACATTGGTGCAATGGGTTAAACCCTTGTGCTGGAGGGACTGAAGATCGACAGGTCGGAGATTTGAAATTGGGGAGAGCATGGATGAGCTCCCTCTGTCAGCTCCAGCTCCCCATGCAGGGACATGAGAGAAGCCCTCCACAAGGAGGGTAAAACATCAAAACATTGGTGCAGTGGGTTAAACCCTTGTGCTGGAAGGACTGAAGAACGGACATATACTCCAATAACAAAAAACGTTTCTCAAGTTGCTCCTGACACGAAAAAAAAATCTGAAGAAACTGGGTTGTTGTAGGTTTTTCAGGCTGTATGGCCATGTTCTAGAAGCATTCTCCCCTGACATTACTCCTGCATCTATGGCAAGCAGCCTCAGAGGTTGTGAGGTATGCTTACCACAGATGCAGGTGAAACATCAGGAGAGAATGCTTCTAGAACATGGCCATGCAGCCCGAAAAACCTACAACAAAGAAAGAGGTGGAAGTCCAATGATGTGAGGTCGGGGGAATCGGGGATGCGGTGAAATTTCAAAGCCACAGGAGCATGTTTCTTCCATTTGGGCAACAGGTAAGTTGTGAGATGGTGCATTGTCTTGCAGAAGGCAAAGGACACTTTTGGGGAGCATGCCACATTGTCTCTTGGTTTGGATGGCCTCCCACAATTTCCGCAGCAGTGAAGCCTAGTCTGCCCCTGGGATCATGGTGCCCTTGTCTAGGAAATCCATCCATCCTGCTCCGTGCTGGTCCCAAAATCTTGTGAGCATGACATTGCCTGTTGAGAGTTGGGTCCCGTGCCTTCTTTGGAGGCCTAGAGTCAAGATGCTTCCATTGCATCGACTGGACTTGAGTCTCAGGATCAGAGGGGTGGACCCAGCTTGCATCCTGTTGAAAAGGTCCTCCTGGTTTCCATGGCACATCCTTGTCAAGAGGTCCTGAGAGCATCATCATCATCATCATCATCATCATCACCTTTATTTAATACCCCGCCATCATCTCCCCAATTGGGGCTCAGGGCGGCTTATAGAATCATAGAATCCTAGAGTTGGAAGAGACCTCCTGGGCCATCCAGTCCAACCCCATTCTGCCAAGAAGCAGGAAAATTACACTCAAATCACCCCTGACAGATGGCCATCCAGCCTCTGTTTAAAAGCTTCCAAAGAAGGAGCCTCCACCACACTCCGGGGCAGAGAGTTCCACTGCTGAACGGCTCTCACAGTCAGGAAGTTCTTCCTCGTGTTCAGATGGAATCTCCTCTCTTGTACTTTGAAGCCATCGACCCATTGCGTCCTAGTCTCCATGGAAGCAGAAAGGAAGCTTGCTCCCTTCTCCCTGTGACTTCCTCTCACATATTTATACATGGCTATCATCATATCTCCTCTCAGCCTTCTCTTCTGTAGGCTAAACATGCCCAGCTCCTTAAGCCGCTCCTCATAGGGTTTGTTCTCCAGACCCTTGATCATTTTAGTCACCCTCCTCTGGACACATTCCAGCTTGTCAATATCATGACACATTGGGCAGTTAATAATAATAATAATAATATCATCTTTATTTATACCCTGCCACCATCTCCTCAACGGGGACTCGGGGCGGCTTCCATGAGGCCAAGCCCAGA